CATTTAACCAACTTCACTTGTCGGTTCCCATTTTCGCCCTCCACTTTCGTCCCGCAAATCATTATCCATTAAGGGTAATGATTTGCGGGACGAAAATGGGAAGCGAAAATGGGAGCCGACAAGTGAAGTTGGTGAAATTACAAAATTACCCATTTAACCAACTTCACTTGTTGGTTCCCATTTTCGCCCTCCATTTTCGCCCTCCATTTTCGTCCCGCAAATCATTATCCTTCCATTAATTATGGAGGATTGCCGGCCAAAAAAATAAATTAAGGAGAAAGGTTACGGTTTTTTCTTTTCTTTTCTTTTTTTTTATGTCTTTCTCTTTGGTTATCCCAATAGTTTAGGGCTATCTGATTAAAAAAAAGGAAGCTGGTTTTGTCAGATAAACAACAGAACAGAGGCAGGCGTAACGCAAACGTTTTCTTGTGCAACTATTTTCACGTCTTATATATATTAATGATAATGCGAAGCCTAGATAGAAACTGAAGCCTTCAGAATTATGGATATAAAAAGCCTTTCTTGTGTTTAAGAAACTAGAACCAGTTTCACCATACTTAAAAGGCAACATGAATATGACAGGGAGATTGCTTGAACCAATTTTCAAGTCAACTCCAAACTCTCCTATAAGAACAAATGATCTGGAACAGACGATCTCAGAATCCGATTTCTTGTTTGCGAGAAGATTGCGAGAAAGATGGAGAAGGGTAGCAAGAGAATGGCTGTTCTTGTGGGTTGCAATTACCCCAACACCAAGAATGAGCTGCACGGGTGCATCAACGACGTCAAGGCTATGAAAAAGGTCCTGGTGAAAAGGTTTGGGTTCAATCATGCTCATATTGAGCTCCTGACTGATGCACCACGGTCCTCGGTTATGCCTACTGGTGCCAACATCAAGGCGGCTCTTGACCGGATGGTGGATAAGGCTGAAGCAGGGGATGTCTTGTTTTTCCACTATAGTGGCCATGGAACCAGGATTCCTCCCGTCAAATCGGCCCATCACTCCAGAAAAGATGAAGCAATTGTTCCCTGTGACTTCAATCTCATCACTGGTAAGTTCTAATTTTGCATTATATAGTAATTGTGAGCTTATTATTTAGGTCAAACTCTCTATTTATTCTCTAAATGTTATCATTTTCTGTAATCAACACTTTTTAGAATTTTCACTGTTAATCAACATTTTTTTGTAATATGAAACTGTAAAAAAAACTCAAAATTAACAATTAGGTCACATGCAAGTTAAGTGCAAACAAGAGGTTTGATTGTTAATTTTGAATTTTTCACATGTTTAAAAAATTTTGAAAGATGTTAATCAAAAATAAATATTTTAAAGAGTGTTAATCACGAAAAAAAAAAGTCCATAGTGTGAATAGAGGGTTTGGCCTATAATTTACCATCAACCCCGTTAACCTCTGATCGGTTTTTGCATCATGATTATATGCAGATGTTGATCTAAGACACTTGGTTAATCGTGTTCCCAACGGCGCAAGTTTCACAATCTTTTCAGATTCCTGCCACAGTGGGGGTCTAATTGACAAGGAAAAGGAGCAAATTGGACCTTCTGTCTTTAAGAAAGAAAAAACATCATCTCACAAGCATAAGACCATTCCCTTTGAATCTGTACTCCAGCACTTGACTTCACTCACAAGCATCAACACCTCTGACATCGGCACCCACCTGTTAGAATCCTTTGGAGGTGATGCCAGCCTCAAATTCCGTCTTCCTCTGGACAAACTGGATTTAATGCACTCCAAGAAAGATGAGGGCATCCTGCTAAGCGGATGCCAGGCAGAAGAAACGTCCGAGGACGTGAGTGACAGTGAGGGAGGAGGGAAGGCATGTGGGGCGTTTAGCAATGCGGTGCAGAAGGTGCTGAAGGAGAATTCGGGTCCATTGAGCAACAGGGAAGTTGTGATGATGGCCAGGAAGATTTTACGGGCACAGGGGTTCGAGCAGCACCCTTGCTTGTACTGCAGTGATGAGAATGCTGATGCTCCCTTCTTGTGGCAGCCTGAGTGCTAGCTTGTATCTAATTGTGCTTAAGTTGGGATTCATTGATTGTTTCATTGCCAAATGAGTATAGACGCGGTGGAATAAGTGAATAAAATGGGTTGCAAGAGTATTTGATTCAAGGTTTAATGTTAAATTTAATCTCTCAACTTTGCCTAAGCAAAACTTTTTTGGTGGCTAAATAATTTTATACATTCTTTTAGTTTCTTAAAATCATAACTTTTATCAATAATTTAAATAATTTAATAGTAATCTTTTTCTAAATAAAAATAAAATGTCAAATCACATAATATACAATAAAGTGAGTTAAAAAATAAAAAAAAAATTTACCTTCTATTATATAATTCAAGAAAAAAAAAAGATAAAAAAGAAGGGGGAGAAACACTATTAAAGTACTTTCAACATCATTTTTACAATGAGTTTATGGCTCTATTTGGTTTGGCTCTTAGGGACAGATGATAGCTGTAATTATTAATTAATACTCTCTTTGTTTAGTTTTATTTATGACTCTTTAGACGTGATTTTCAAACAAAATTTTGGTATATTATATAAATGAAAATTGAAATTGTTTTGATTAAATAAGAATACTCGATAAAAACTTTATATGGGAAAAAAAGTTTTAAAATTATTATTCATATAAATTATTAAATTTTTATTTAAAATTTATACCTAAAAAGTCAAAAAATTAAATTAAAATTATTAAAAATAAATAAAAGGAGTAGTTGACAAACAATTAATAGTTATGAGAAGTATTTAACAGTTAAAAATCAGCTTACAAACTAATTAATATTTTCAACCACTGTAACCAATTGTTAAAGAAAAAAATTATTGACGAATAAAAATCACTCAAACTAAATACGCCCTGTATCTCCAATTTAAAATATATTCTATTTAATACCCCTAAGAGGTTGATTTTAAAAAAAAAAAGAAAAAAAGAAAAAGAAACACCCGTAAGAATTCAGGACTGAAAAACTTTCCACGTCACTTATGAAATGTCTCAGACAACCCTAAAAGTTGAATTGAATAGTAAATAAAAATTATCTTATAAATTAAGTTGAGTATTTAAGTTTTGAAGTTAATATTTAATA